CGTTTGGTGGTGGGCCCACAGGCGGCGGCTGCGGCACCTCCACGTTGGTCAGCGCCGCGGGCGCAAGTGGCGGCGGCGGTGGGCCCGCCATCCCTGCGCCGCTCACCCCCTGGTCCGCCTGCCGCCCGCCAGCGGGGGGGGCGCTCGAGGCTGCCCCTGTGCTCCTCCCGCTGGCAAGGCTGCCGGCGTCCAACTTGTGACGCTGCTCGTAGTTCAGTATCGCCACCCTCGCCTCGTCGAGCTTCTCGCGCTTCCTCCTGTTCCTGGTCTTCTTGCTGTGGCCCGCCCACGCAGGGTCATTTAGCCCCCATGCTATCTGCGAGCATATGTCGTACCAGTCGAACTCCGGTGTATTCTCCCGCGTCATGTCGTTCATCAATACCCAATGGCCCTCCCATTGCTTCTGTTCCGAGCATTTCTTGAACGCTGTGCCCGGTGCCGAGGGCTCTACCTGCGGAAGATGTCGCAACGCATCCGCGGGATTAACCGCCGTGGTGCCGTCCTCCTTGAGCTTGTCCGCCCGCAACAGGGTCTTCAGATCCCTGATATCGTCCTCGGGAAATTCGGCCTGTGGGTGCCGCGCCTTCGGTGGCTTGGCTGCGTGGTCATACATCTCGACGCGCGTGCCGAAGGCCACTTCGCCCCCCCGCCTCTTCTTCAAGGGGGGGGGAGCTGTGGCCAACGGCCCACGCGGATCACGGCCCTGCACCCTCCTGGGTTGTCCCATTGCGCTTGTAGTACATGTTCATCGTCGTGAACTGGAGTAGTCGGCCATCCTGCGGTGCGCCTCCTGCGCGGCTGCATCGCCGCCCGCCTCCTCCCTGACTGCCCGCTAGTTACAATTGTGTGCGGCCGCCCGTTCGTGCGCCTCCAGCAGACCTGTCTTGCCGTCCTCGGCCGTGCACGCGGCTTCCCCTCCAAATTCAGCTCGCAACTCGCGGCAGTCTTCCACCGCGGCGCCCAGCTTCTCGAACTAGGTCCCCATGCCCTTCGCGCGGCCCACGGCCCGTATCACGTCGCCCTCCTTCTCGAGTGTGGCCCCGAGGGCCCCCTTCATCTGGCCCTGAAGGGTCTCGTGCCGCACCGTGGCGTAGCACCTCGCCATCCGCTCGAGCGTCTTCTTGGAATGGCCCATGCTGATGAGGTGGTGGGCGTCTGCAACGTCCTCCACCAGCTTCCCGTCGCGGCCGCTGGGCGCCCCTGACGCTTCGGAGCGCGGCGTCGTCGTCGTCTCCCAGTCGGCCGTGCTGTCTTCGGCTGGTGGCGGAGGCGCACGGGGCTCCCCCGGCGCCTCCGCCGCCGCCATCGGACGCCCGACCTCCTTTGCGACCGCCCCCGTGTCGGGTGGCGCCCCCGTGCTGGACGTGTCGATGCCTATGCGCGCGCCCGTCGTGGCGCGCATCGGGGCCAGCTCTCCGTCTTCGGTTAGAGCATAGCCCATCAGCGCGTTCAGGCTTTCTTTGAGCGCGTTCAAGGACTCCTGGAAATTGGTCACACGGTCCCGCGAGTGCTGGATTGAACCTGCGCCTCTGTTGGTCTTCGCAGCCTTTGTGACTGCCTCGCGCTCATATATGTTTTCGTGCCTGGCCGCGCACCCGGGGCAGGAGTCGGCGCAAATGCCTCCTTCCTTGCCGCGCCGCAGCCTCGGGCACCTGGGGTTTGCATCCAGCGCTTGCCCGTGGCGGGCCAGCTCGGCCGTCGACAGCTCCTCGACCCGCTCGATCTTCATGGCCTTCCAGTCAGTAGTGGCGGCACCAGCCCAGCCGCTGTGGTCGTGCCCGATAGGCCCCCATGCAGAACTTCCAGCCCATGGCTCGTAATGCTCCTGCGTCATCTCCTCCGCGCTCAAGAGGGCAACAGCGTCCGTCTCTGCCCTCGGTTGTATTTGGCCATATGTTGCTTTGGCGTCGGCTCCGTTTGGAGCCCCGCCCTGCCCCGTCGGTCATGGCCGCGCTCGAGGCGTTGCTGCGTGTCTCGCTGCCGTCCGCGGTGGTGGCAGCCTCGCCTGGATCGCTGCGGGCTCCCGATGCGGTTCCTCTGCCCGCCTGCTCCCGCAGCTGCATGGCTTGGAGCGCCGTTGTCAGCTTATCCAGCCCGCTCTTCTGGTCCTCAGTGAGCCCCGCATACGGTGCCACATTCAAGGCGGCCTGGGTGACTGCAACGGCGTGCTTTGCAGGCGTGGAGGCCTTCGTGCCGCTGGGCGGGGAGGCGCTGGGGGCTGCCTCCGTGCCTCCCCGCCCCTCGGCTTTGGGCTCTTCCGAGGCGCTGGGCACGGGGGCTGCGCCCTCGGGAACGTGTGCGAACTCCTTCTCAGAGATGTCAGTGAGGTCCCTCGGGAACGTGTCGCTCTCGGAGAGGTCTACCATCTGGTCGGGGCGAGGCGCTCGGGGCTGCCCCGATGCCTCGGCCACCGCCAGCGGGCGTCCCACCTCCATTCCGACCTCCTCCGTGGCTGGCGGCGCGCCTGTGCTGGGCGGCTCAATGCCCGCGCTCGCCCCCTCGGTGGCCCCCTCCCTCGCGGCCGCCGCCGCTT